AAAATCAATTCATCACTAAACAGCAATAAAGCTGAACTGTCTGGAGTTCTAGGTTTGCAAATTTTAGAATTTTGCAATTTATGACTTCAAAAAGGAATGATTTCCAGTTTTTACAACTCTTATTCCGTAAGATAGGAATCTATGTGGTCCTAATGTAATGAAGAAATGTGCTACAGGCATATTGCCAAGATTTGCTTCTGAACTAACTGATCTTACAGGAGAGGGGGGAAAATATTGCCATCAATCATAATTTTAGTTTCCTGCTGTTGATAACAGCCTTCTTTGATAGGTTTATGCAACACCATCCCAAAAAAAAAAAATCTTATTAGAAGTGAACATTTTTTTGGCTTCACTTTCTAATCATACTCTGTCCTTGTGAATTTTTAATTATTAACTGAGAATAATCATCCATACATCTGCAAAAATGAGTTCTGGCCTATTATCTATTAATATGAAAGATTATACTGCCACCAACTTTTTATATAAGGTGCCATAAGGTGAGGAGCATTCACAGAGGAGTAGAAAAAAGTCAAGGTGACAGCCACAACTAGTGATTAAATTTTGTTCCTTTTTTACATATGTTAGCTAGGAGTTTTCCTAGCTAACTGTGACTGGTATCTTGAGCAGTTTTATCACAATACATGAGACAGACTTGTTTGAGACGGTGTACAAAATATGCAGTTTTGAGTGAGTCACTTTAAAAAGGCAAACAAAACCCCCTCACAACAGCTAGGTTCACACAACACATCCAACTTGGTGACTGAATTGCATCATTTTTTTTTAAACACACAATATACTGAATCATGAACTAACCAAGCAGGCTGTGTTCCCAGAGCGTACTACTAAGCCAAATACATATATATGTAATTCTCCACTTAGAACCACAACTGAGCCCAGAATTATGGTCATTAGGTTGTTGCTGTCATTAAGCAAGGCGCTCATGTAGCTCTCCCTATTATGCGGAGCATGGGGTGCCATAGGGGCTGGGGGGAGGCCCTGGTTACTGAAAGAATGATTGTAAGTTGAGGACTATCTGTACCCAAAACAGCCTTAATAAAGATTCAAATCAACAAGGCTCAACATGTGGTGTGAATAAATGCAATTATTTGAACTTTAATTGACCTGGCTAAGCAGATCATCTTAACACCATCACTGGCTATGTTGGGAGTGGAGGAAAAGGAAATCCTGCATTTCGTCTCCATCCCATCCCCCCCCCCCCATTATTTGAAGAACATTAACAGATTGATTAGCATGTGAAGGGCAGTAGAGGGATGGGATAATGAAGGAATCTTTAGAATTTTTTAGGATCAGTAGAATTTTGAAACTGGCCTTCTAAGGATTCCTTGATGGTCTCATCCCTCTCCTGGCCACTATTAGCTTTTTTTTGTTCATGTCCATGTCAAATCCAAAAATTATCAATGCAAAATAAAAATATAAAGTCATGGGACAGATTCATGTTATCAACCATCATGCTTCATAAGTTCCAGAATCCTGAAACAATTGTGTTGATTCCAAGCATAGGAAACATAATCATCTTTGCTTATATTAGCATCAACTGGTTGCATGAAATGAAATTTGACAAAATATTTATAAACGCTAGCACCCCTGAATGTGCCGAGTTTAAAACAGCCACGTTTTAAACACACCTTTATATACAAATATACATACATATCTGATGCATTCTATCTATTTGTGAGACAGATGGAAAGCTGATAACTACAGCCAGTTCTGGGGAATGAGCTTGAAAGAAGGTTTCAATTATCGTCTTGGCACATTTCACCCATCGGCTGCCCTGTTGGACATGCGACCTGTCACGGTAGGTCTCCATTTTTTCTCTTTTCGATTCAAAGTACAAACATCAGATGTATTCCACCATAGCCCACAGGTTGCATGCAGCCCTGGATAGCTAGTATTGTGGTCCCACAAGATTGCAAACTTTTACCATTATTATGTATCTATGTACATGAAGTATATCATATATTTTATATGTGGCCCAAGGCAATTCCTCTTCACTCAATGCAGCCCAGGAAAGCCAAAAGGTTGGACACCCATGCTCTAGATAAGAGGCTTTTTTTGTGTGTGTGCGTGTGTACAACACTCAAAGATCTAACATTTATAGGTAGTTGATTAATCAAGACAACAAATCTTCCCTATGAAAATGATTGTTTTTTTCACAGCTGATTGTGTTTACTCAGGTAAATATTTGTAATGAAATGTAAACATTCCTCTATTTCCTAATTTTAGAGTTTCATTATATCTGCATCTCCCTGTAACCCAAGAATAGAAGATCAGTTTTCCTCTTGATGTTGCTGAAGTACAGCTCCCATCCTTCAGCATTGGAAGTATAGTTCAGCATCAAAAAGCCAGACATTTCTCACCTCTTTGTAAACTGTCACAAAGCTAATAACAATCTGCAAACCATTCTCGCTGCAGCATTTTCCACGTGGATCCAAACACACCAAATGTCCCGAACATCTTCAAAATGATTTTTGTGGGGTCCTTGGTGCTCTCTGAGCTCAGTTGTTTTCTTGCAGATGTTTCAGTATCAAACTAGATAACACCATCAGTGTTAGCAAAGAGTGGGGTTTGCTCTTTTTTTATATACCAGTGGCTTGCCCTGTCTGTTGGTGGGAATGGTCTTGGTTCTTGATTAGACAGTTGTTTACTGTTAGCTTGTTGCTCTGTGTTGGTAGTTCCTTGATTTTTTTTTTTTTTTGCCTTGCATGTATTTTCATTTGGATCAAAATCACGTCACAGCACATGAAAAATCTCTGCAGCTCATAACAAAATTCTGTTCTCCCCTATCACCCACCTGTTTGGTTATTGCTCTTTTATTATGGCCCCTCTCCCTGCTCACACAACTAATTCATTTAAGGACAAACATTGACTGAATGTTTGGGAGATGTCACAGTGGTCTGTAATGACAGCCTATGTATACAGCTTGAAGGGTAAGAGGATGAACAAGGCTTTCTGGAGATGGGTCTGTCTGTGGGTGGTTCAGTGATGCAGCCTTGAATCTTACAGCTTTCTGCACCAAAATGTTTGATCTCTTTAGGAAAACACAGCAGCTGTTGCAGACTTCCCTGAATTCTTTGTGGCTTCCTATGAATGGCCAGACTGGATTCATGATCCTTTGGACCAAAGAAACTGTGCAGCATCCTGGGCATTTTCAACTGCAAGTAATGTGCTCTTTTGGCTGCATGGTTGGTGCCTAGAACTGTGATTGAACTATATTTACTTTAAACTTATTCTTGACTTCTTGCTAGGTGTACTTGAAAAGACAGCGTGCAATTTCCCTTTATTTTCAGTTTCTTCTACCCCATTAGACTGCTTCTTCTGAAAAAGAACAACAAGAGTACTTCCCCCCCCCCATAACCCTTCAGAGAAAAAAAATCTAAAATGCTAGCTCAGTGGATTCTTTATGTGCGATCAAAAATGTGCAATAAAAGTATGCAATCAGATACAAGAAACAGATGTTCTTTATAAAGAATATTGCGACTGTGGATAAGCTCTTATAAAAATGGAACGAAACTAACTTCTTAACTCATCCATATTGATGTAACCTAGTTTTAACTATAGAGAATTTTGTTAGCCTTAGTGAATATATGGCATTTCCTGTAGGGCAACCGTATTGGGGCAACATAGATTTAATTCTTGACTATCCATTGGTTAAAGGTCTTCTGTTTGAAGACCTCCAAGGTCCCTTCCAACTCTATAATAATTATAGAATTATTCTATAATTCTGCAAAAAAAACCAAAAAAAAAACCAACTAGCTGGTTTTATTTGCCTATGCAATGCTAAACCATGAGGAAAAAAAAATATCCCCAATTTGATGAGAATCCTTTGAAAAGGTCATGTATCTTCACAGTAATCTACCAAAATTAAGGAGTGCTAGCTGGTTTTATTATTTCCGAGTTTCAATGATTTATTACTACCTCTCAGGCAGAGAGCTTTATAACCGACCTTTTTCCATTGGATAGGTGTAGCTGCAGATAGAACAGCAATTCATTCCCAAGGCCATTTCACAGACAACCTTTCGCCTCAGAATCTAATATCTTGTGCCATTAAGAATCAGCAAGGATGCCAAGGAGGAAGCATAAGCGATGCTTGGTCTTACATCACAAAGTATGGGTAAGTAAGATTGTTATTATTATTCCCAGAAGTAAGAAAGAATCAATTACAGAGAACAATATTACGATACACATACCATCCATTTTAGAGAGATGAGAAGTTTCAGGGTGGATGCCAGTTAATTCTCAGGGTTCATTTTCATCAAAAAACAGACAGTGTGACTGGTGTTGCTTCTGTGATACAAAATTTGTTAACCCATTTAAGACTGCCAACTGATTCCTGTTCACCATCAGATGGTGGAATGTAGTTTGGAATCCAAGGAAGGAGGGGCTGCTTCCCAAAGAGACAGTGGAGCTTGGAGTGTCTGGTAGGCAAGAAGAGAGATAGGTTGAGCCTAAATTATATTATATATTATACTCATAAAGTATAATATATCTTTAGCTATGCAGAAGGTTTCAAACTGGCACAGAGTCACAGCTGCTCCTATGTCTGTTTGTCTGCAAATCACAGTGAGCCTCTGTGATTTGTAAACCAGGCTTTCTGGTTTTATATGTTGTGTGTAGTCAACAAAATGTGGATATGGAATTGCCTATAGTTAATTGAGGTATTTGGAATGCATAGATCAACCTATAAAAGCGTATATATAAGCTTGTAAACTTATATTCATCCTGTAAAAGAACTTACATACTACCGTAGATTTTCTCCAACTGTAACTCATTTAACCACTCTTTATAAATGTTAAGTCTAAACCCTTTGTATTTGTCCACTTCAAAAAAATGTGAAAGTACATACAATATGAGAAATAAAAACCCAAACAGTAACACAAAAATATGATAAAAAAGATTTCTTGCAGCACATATTTTTATTTAATCAAAATAGAAAGTAGTCCTGCAACAATGACAAAACCTCATCCGTGCTCGTAATTAGATATGATGGGATGATGTGACAGATTATAGGTGAAGAAAAGTATAGCTGCCATTCAAGGAACAGATCTGAATTCTGCCTGTGTGCTCCTTGTAGGATAAATATTCTATTGTAGCTGTGAATAAAGCAGAATAATAGGCAATTATGCAACTATTCACACTGATGGACATAAAAATAGAGTTTATGCCAATGAGATACTGATTTTCTAAATTGGTTTGACAAGGTTCTTAAGAAAATATAACTCATTCTCTCCCTGGCACAAAAAGTATAGCTAAAGCAATCACCTTTATCAATATTTATTTTATACTAATTTTATTAAATATAGCAACTAAAAGTTACAAACTAATATGAACTTTAAAAAGAATAGAAAAAGTAGAAATGCAGAAAAGATGGAAAAATAGAAAAGAAAGTAAAAAAGAATAAGAATATAGTAAAGAAAAAGAAAAGAAATATGTAAAGATATGGCTTCCCCCTTCATTACAACAAATTTAAATAATTTTAGTAACTTATTACCTTCTCTTAAAATACAACAAAGAATCTCTTCTTTCCATGTCTCATATCTTATCTATAAACAAATCCTTCAAGCCTTGTCATTCAGTTCTGGTCAGCAAAAGTCCATTAAGAGTTACCCAAGATAACAACATATCTATGTTAACCTTGATCAAATAAACCAACCATATATTCTTTCCTTTTACTTTTAGCAAACTTGAACTTTAATCCCTTCAAATAATAAAACTTAATTTTTTAAAAATATTTTCTCTGTCCCTTCTCACAAAGTTCTTCAAAAGTTTAAAAGCCTATTTTGCAAATTCAGGATAGGAAAGTTATCCAGGTCACATTTGGTTTGTTATTTGTTATTATATCCCTTTTAATTATTAAGACATAAGGCAGTTTTATATGTATTTACAGCGTAGCATCTTTTCCATATCATTCTTGTTACCTGTCATGTGTAAACCCACTTTCAAATCAATCTTAGTTTTGTCTGGTAAAGCTGGTTCCTCTTCCATAACATCTTCTAAATGCAGTCTGTCTATACTGGCAAAAACTCTTAAAATTAAGTTCTTGGTTCATTGTTCACAAATATCCTTCAGTACATCCAATGTTAAAGTACTTTGCTCCAGCCTGTATTAGTAAATCAAATTCAAGTGCTCTTCTCCTTTAATTGGAATGTTTAGTTCCTCTGGGTTCACTTAGTGTCCAGTCTATAAAGTCCCATCCAATCGTGTTTTTTTAAGAATTCAAAACAACAGCATTTCCCATGGGAAGGATTCTTATAATGAACTTCAAAATCTTATTTCAAATCCATCTGGACCCTTAGATCATTGTACCTTTCCACTATTCTAATCACCCTCTTGCTATTTATTCCAAAAGACAAGATTTTTTTTTTAAGCCCTTAAACTTGTATTTAAACTTTCTTTCACTAAGAGCGGAAGGAAACTTACTTGGTTCCTTAAAACTGAAAGGCAGTTAACAAGCAATTTTTAAAAATGATTAGAAAAGGCCATTTGCAAGCCATGTGCCCCTAAAGCAGTGTTTCTCAACCTTGACAATTTTAAGGCATGTGGACTTCAACTCCCAGAATTCCACAGCCAGCAATGCTGGCTGTGGAATTCTGGGAGTTGAAGTCCACATGCCTTAAAATTGTCAAGGTTGAGAAACACTGCCCTAAAGGTATTGATTGTGATTTGAACGAAGGTGACTTTCCCTCATCTCCGAGAGCTCTAAATCTGCTGGAGACCACTGCCTTGCAGTCATCTTAACTGTCTGGAAGACTTATGGGCTATCTCAGGTTCTGTCCTTGTCTGGAGAGGAATTACAAAAAGCCAGTCTTTGTTCTGCCATAGACTTTGGCTCTGCTTTTAGGGGAGATGTCTTCAGTTTGCCATTTCTTCCCTGGAAGTCCCAGCTTGTATCAATATTTAGATAGCTGAAATCGATACTCATCTGAGAACAAGTCCATCAAAATGAGTAGGAGTTACTTCTCAGAAGATACATTCAGGGCTGTTTAAGTGTTGCTCTCTAGGTGCAGGAACAGAGATATGAGCTCACTATTTATGTGCTATTTGGGAAAAAACCAAAAGATTTAGAAAATTTGTTGTGCCTGCACAGTAGAGAGCAAGGGCCAGAAACATTTTAGGGTTAAGGTGTACATTCTCTTGGGAGGTCTTTGTCCAAGACCACATTCTAGTATAGGCAGTGCCAAGTTAGAAGTCCCTGGAAGCACCTTTGCCTCTCTTTTATTATTCCATTCACTTGTTTTCCCTCTTTCTACTACTGGGCATATGGTTCACTTGGCAAGTGTACTTTTGTTTCAGAGTCATAAGGAAATTAAACTTTGAGCTAAGGGGTTTGTTTTCACTTCTCATGCTTCTGAGGTTCAGGCAAACTGAAGACTCCCATCCATCAAAAAAAAAAAGTGTCTGCTCAGTTCAGGATCATCTGGAGGTGCCAGCTGCTTCCTTTTGTGAGCAGGTAAGAATTGTCTGTAAGTGATAAAAGGAAACCAGGCAGTTAAATAACGTGGTGGCTGGACAACATCAAAGCTGACGCCAGCCAGTTCATAGAAAAAATAGTGCAAGATCAGAAGATATGGAGAGACCTGGCCATAGAATCCCCAAGAGTCAAACTTGAATGAATAGATATCTTCCTCCTCCTCCTCCTCCTCCTCCTCCTCCTCTTCTTCTTCTTCTTCTTCTTCTTCTTCTTCTTCTTCTTCTTCTTCTTCTTCTTCTTCTTCTTCTTCTTCTTCATCATCATCATCATCATCATCAATTGGCCATAGTGATTCATATCTTCATCACATATTCCTTATATTCCTTTAAGAAGACCATCCTTGAAAACTGGAAATCACAGGTCTTCAAAAGGGGCACTTTGATTTTTATCAAACTGGCTCCTTGTCATGGCAGCCTTGGAATCAATTCTTTTACTTCTTCTACTGCCCAGGAAGGGAAGTTGCTGGATACTCAGAGCAGAACTTTTCCAGAAACAACAGCACTACAATTCTGCAACTTCTTTCCAAAGGAAAAAAAAGTCTGGCTTCCCCTTTGTACTGTTATTGATCAGGAGGGAAGGCAATCTGGTACCATGGTGATTTCAGAACTGTCTGAATGCTCTATCACAGAGGTCCCCAACCTTTTGGCATCAAGGAAAAATTCTGTGGAGAAAGATTTTTCTGTGGACCAGAAGGGGTGTGGTTTTGTGTGCTGCCTGCATCCAGCGGATGGGGCTTCACTTGTTTGTGCGGCCTGGTTGCTGGTATGGCCCGGCCTGCTATCATTCCTTTTCAGGCTTCATTCCAGTTCAGGGCTTATTATGGGTTGTGAGAACTCAGGACTCATGATCAGCTTAAACTGTTTAGGCTTGCATAGACAAAGGTTCAGCACTGTCGAAATTTACTCCATGCTTAGCCTGCATTAGCCCATCCACAATATTTGAGAAGCCTTGAAATATTAAAAGGAAATTCAGGTAGTCTTCGATTTACAACAGTTCATTTAGTGGCCATTCAAAGTTACAATGGTAATGAAAAAAGTGTCTTATGACCGTTTTTCACACTTACAATCACTGCAGCATCCCCCTGGTCATGTGATCAAAATTCATATGCTTGGCAGTTGACTCATATTTACGACGGTTGCAGTGTCCTTGGTTCATGTGTTCTCCTTTGCGATCTTCTGACAGTCAAATTCAATGGGGAAGCCAGATTCACTTAACAACCACATTACTAATTTAACAACTGCACTTCTGTGACAAGAAAGGTCATAAAAATGGGACAAAATTCACTTAACAACTGTCTTGCTTAGCAACAGAAATATTGGTTTCAATTGTGGTCATAAGTTGAGGACTACCTGTAGTATATTTATTTCTGATCCAACCTTAGCCTGAATAAAATAAATCATTAGTTTTATTCTGGGGAGGAAGGGAAGGCTTTGCACAAATTTATTTATCATTTCAAGGGATCAAGAATAGGACACATTTAACAAGGCCTACAAGACCAGGGTCAAAACTGTCAAGATGGTGGTTGTAAGTATATGATAGGAGCTCGTCCTCTTTGCACATGCAGGTGATTGCCACACATACAAAAGGGATGTTAGGGATCTTGACTTTTTTGACACGTAACCTCTTTTCCACAGACATTCTCAAGTCACTGGCTTATTTGAGTAGAATTGTTTTGCTCTTGCTTCCCTTAGTTTTATGATCAAGCTTAACTGCTATGATTATATAATTTCTAATTTTTAATTACCTGCAGCATTTGATAATTTATCAAACATTTATAAATTTAAATTTTACAGATTTGTAATTCATAACAAATGGAATAAACATTTAACATTATTTAGAATGATCAATTTCCAGCTACATCCTGTTGGGCAAAAAAATTCTCGACGTTACTGTTATGTTTTAAGCAATTCAAAGGTTCTGTTATAAGAACGGTTAACTGATTACTTTATTTGAATCTTAGACTGTCTGTCTGTATAACTTTAAGCCTAGTGTTTTAGGCCGGAACGAGTACTGATTGGCCGCCGCCTAGTGGCGGCCCATATAAATAAAAGTCAAGCAGCTGCTAGAGCTTGCTTCTGTGAGAACCTAATAAAGAGCTGTTATTTCAACTCCGTGTCTTCAATGCCTCACTGTTCCCACTACACAACAGTGGCAACGAAGGTGGGATTATGCTGCTGGGAAGAAAGAGCTAAGTCACTACAAGGGGTAAGACCAGGCACCAGCACCCTGGTTGGAACCATGTTCCCTGTTGAGTCCTTGGCGAAAAGCAGACGCGAGAAGCAGTTGTAGTTCTCAGGTTTCCTTTTATTCTGTGTTCAGCTTACAAGTGAAGGCTTCAGCAACGCCCAAAAGCTCCTAGCCTCTTATATAGGCAGTTCCCGGGTCAATGTGTTACTTTTCCCGCGCCAGCACCCGCGCATGCGCACAGGCGCTGGCGACAGCCTGTCTGGTCCCGGGCAGCTTGCACCTGCCCGGGACTGCCTGCAAATGCCCTGAGCCCATTTGCAAGGCTCGGGACATAACACCCCTTTCCCCCGGGCTAAGACTACTACCAACATACAATTATTTCTTGATGCAGTGTTCTACTCCCCAGTGCTCCTACTGTTTACTGGCTTTTGTTTG